AGTAAAAGAAAAGAAAATTTAGTTTGAAAGATGCGAAATGGAGCTCAATAAGAATCCAGCAGACCCTGCCCTCAAACAAGAGGAGAAGATATTGGTAAATGAGTGTGCTCAAGCTGTAAATAATGAAGAAATTTTCTTTAAACAAAATTCGAGAGTGTTATGGTTGACAAGGGTGATCAAAATACAACTTTCTTATTTAAAACTATGAACTGCAGGAGGAATTGGAAGAAAATCCTAAGATTACAAACTGAACATGGAATAACTGTTGATGATGCCGAAGCAGTCAAACAAGAAGTTATGAGTTACTACAAACGAATCCTAGGCCATAATGATTACAACATTCAGACTGAGGAAAGAAGAAGGATCCTATCTACCTTGCAAATTAACAAGCTGAATGAGCTCCAATCTAGCTATATGGCGAGAGAGATGGAGGTAGAGGAGATTAAAGCAGTAGTATTTTCATTTAATAACATGAAAACCCCTGGATCATATGGTTAAGGAGCTTATTTTTTCAAAAAAATCATGGCCTATCCTTGGGAATGACATCACTGAAGTTGTAAGGGAGTTTTTTACCATAGGAAAATTGCTAAAGGAATTAAACTCTACCATCCTTACCTTGATTCCTAAGAAACCAAATCCATCCTTAATTGGTGATTACCGACTTGTAGCCTATTGCAACTTGCTCAACAAAATCATTGTCAATAGAGTGAAGACTATTATGTAGGATTTGGTTAGTTCAAACCAAACAGCGTTTGTGCTTGGAAGAAAGATTGGTGATAACATCATGTTGACTCAAGAGATTCTCAGGAACTACCACAGGAGACAAGGAACCCCAAGTGTGCAATCAAACTGGATATTCAATAGGCTTATGACACCTTGGATTAAGGGTTTTTAATGGATGCATTGGAGGCCTACCAATTTTCACCTATAATAAGGAAATGGATAAAAGAGTGCATTTCTACTCCATATTTTCTGTTAATATTAATGGGGAACTCGTAGGGTTTTTTTAGGCAAGGGGATCCCATTTCCCCTACCTCTTTGTGCTTGCTATGGAGATCCTTAATCACATTCTCCAACTTAGGATCACAAGAAACCCAATGTTCAAATTCCAATTGAAATGCAAAAAGATAAGACTAATACATTTTTGTTTTGAAGATGATCTTTTGCTCTTATGTAATGGTGACCTTTAGTCTGTTTTTATTCTTAAAGAAGTAGTGGACTTATTCCAAAAATTTGTCTAGAAAGTATGCTAACCCTCTCAAAAGTAATATTTTTTTTACAACTATTCCTCGAGAAGATGAAGGGCAATTTGTAGATCTGTTTGGATGTACCAAGGGCACCTTACCTATTAGGTATCTAGGAATCCCTCTGGTCACTTCAAGGCTAGGAAACAACATTGATCCTCATTAATTGATTAAAGCATTCATTAGTAATATTCTTAACTTTTGGGCTTCACACATCTTCATTCCCTAGCAAGTGCTTGGCACAATTGAGGGAATTGTGAGAGCATTCTTATGGAAATGTACAAACTTGAATTCTTCTAATGCTAAAGTGAGAAGGGATGAAGTGTGTAAGCTAAAAACTGAGGGAAGTTTGAGACTCAAAAGGCTTAAGACTGCCAATGCAGCCCTTATAAGCAAATGCTTCAACTTTAATATTGTAAACACAAGCGCAAGTTGAGCGAAATAATATAATTCTTGGAAGACCGAGGTCGAACCCTTAAGGAATTCTAACAAGAAAGCAATCACACAAATACTTAAACAAAATTAAAAATAAATGATTTGTTCAAGGAATTGTAGAGTGGAGAAAATTAATTTAAATAATTAAAACAGTAATATAAAAAATACTAGAGTATCATGTACTCCCTCTCAATTTCATACAATAATGATTAAAGAATCAAATCTTAACTTGAGACAAGAATCAGATGTCGGTTGATTCGAGTAACATATCAAATAAGAAAATCAAAAGTTATAATCAAAAGATTATTCAGTAACCTAAATAATCATTCAATTATATTATTTTATGAAATAATGATAATTACCTCAAGTGTGGAATAACCAGTTATTTACTCGTAGAAAAATTCAAGCAATCGATGTACATGGCACAACGACTCAAAGATTTTTACAGAGTAAAAACTTTGCTAACAGATTAGAAGTTAAATTAAAAAAATATCATAAATCATTAATTCAGAATCAATAACATTATCGTACTTCATTGAGAGGTTCTCCCATAACCCTAACTTAGTCTTCTGGCCAGACATGACGAACTAAAATAAAAATAAAAAAATGGGAAAAGGAATTCCTAATCTCTAAACGAGAACCTCTATTTATACTAAAAATAAATCCTAAGTACAGGTTGAAAGGAATTATTTTTCAAAAAAAAAGTCTTGTAAGGTTAAATCCCGTGCATAAAATCTTTGGGGCGCGGTTACAAAATTTGTCCAAACTTCGAGCTTGAATTTCGCATATTTAGAGGCTAAATCACGAAAATTTCGTGAAATACACTTTTGTAGCCCTTAAAGTCTTATTTTCAACCCCCAAAAATTAAGTAAATCGGATATCAGAGTCAAGAGTTATGACAAAATACTAAAGATGTGTCAAATTTTTATCTTCTAAAATACTTTTTTAATCCAACTCTAAATGAGTTTCTTCTAACTTGGACTATTATAAGGATTAAATTGCGGTCATTTCTTAAAGTCTTCCTATTTCAATCTTAACTCTTCAATACTTATCAATTGTTATTTTTCATCTAGTGATTGATTCGCTTGTATTATCTATTATTACTTTAAATCAACCAATTTACTTGTAAAACAATCCAAATAACTAAAAAAAGTATCAAACTAGAAAATCAAGGAATTTAACACATTTTATCACAAATAGTATGCAATTAATCAATCATTAGATATAATAAATTAGCAATTTTTAAGGTTAATCACAACCCTCAACCTGAATATTACTGGTCCCTAGTAATGAATAGATCTTAAAATTTAAAAACTAAAAACAAAATATCCTAATAAAATAAAACACAAATCCACTTTCGTAGGACTCACGGTTGCATTTAGCATATGCAACAAGCCTTTAAATCCCTAGGTTTCCCCTAGTGGACGAGTATAGTCTCGTGAGAGTTTCTAGAGATGATACCCACAAACATCATCCTGTGATCAAATATCTGAATAATAATTTTATAACATAAATTGCTACCACAATATAAAAATTCTAAGATACAAGTCTTTTTATAAGCACATGCAAAACAAAATATATAACTTACATGCTATATAAATGTATGCACTTATCATGTTCCCATATAAAATCTTGTGTAGTGTGAATTAACTATATCAAGTTAGCAATTTGTCTGGTAATCACCTCTACAACTATCAACTATTCATCTCAATGCCAAATCTCACTAGATAATTCACTCATAAAAGATTCTCTCAGATTATAGTGACTATTCTCTCAAATATCACATGTAAGAAGAAAATATTTAAATCAAAACAAAATAATGCTCACATATTCCATTAAAAAAAACGTAATTTAAAAGAAAAGGATTTGACATAGTCTCATGAAAGGAAAACAACACACAATATATAAACAATCACCATTCTCTTCCTTATTCAAACGAATCATGCATCTAACAATACACTCTTGAGATCTGATAGGTCTTTATTTAAGGTTGTAATGGGGTCTTGGGATTAGAGTTTTAAAACAAAAGATATTCAAGAATTCAAAAGACTATCCCGAGAAATCATATACATTACACAACCAAACTTCTTTTCATAACATTTCATTCTTCACCCTTTTGAAGCACAATTTATAACACTTGCTCATACTTTTTTTCAACTCATGCTTGTTATTCTTTTCTATCTCTTTTTTTTTTTAATTTGCTTTTTCACGGCTAGACATATTGTCTTTCTTTTTTTTTTTTCAACTTTTTTTTCAGCAAGACAATTGAATGTACATACTTCTGTTTTTCAGCAAAATATCTAATGCAAGTATTCACAAGTATGCAAAAACTTCTTTTTTTTATCATCTTTTTTCAACCAACATCTCCCAAATTACATAAATAATAAAAAGCTCAATCTCGGGATAACCAAGGGTAAAGAATATTATTTATTTTTATTGGCTTGGTTTTTATATCTTTGATATAAGAAATAAAATTTTGTTTCAAAGGCTCAATCATGGCTTCTAGGGATAATAATATTCAAAGAATAAGACTTAGACTCAAATAATAACAAAGATGACCTAAAATCATATCTCAAGAGTTTTTGATAATACACTTCTCATGCAAATAATTTAAATTCAAGTAATTATTCATAATATTGGTGTTGACCAAAACAAAAATAATGAGACTATTAAAGAAAATTAACTGAATAAAAATTTTCTTTATTGAGTAAATGTAAATAATCCTCTAAGAAAGATTGGATCAAAACTCACCAGGATTTTTATGCATTTCCACTATATGTTTCAAGTTCTCAGGGTAAAATACCTAATAAATTTTCAACTTAGTAAAATTTACAGTGCACAAATTATGAATTTTTATAAAAACATAATATGAAATACAAAAATATAGAATAAAGTTCTATGGGATTCTTAAACAGTTTCAAATTTAAAACTAAACAAATTATTTATATATTGTGGTGTCAAATTATGCATAAAAATTTTATTTAGATATTTAATAAAAAAATATTTTTTTTTAGACTAAAATTTAAATAAAATAGAAATTGTCACAACACAAAATACATTCACGCCCCCAACCTAAATTTAACATTGTCCTTAATGTAAAAATAAACACTTTAATACTCAATAAAAATAATGAACAAATATTAAAGGGATAGAAATACCTGGTGCTGCAACAACTCTAAAACATAAAAATAAAAACTCAACAAACAAACAAAAATTATAAATTGAAACAAACAAAAAATAAAATAAAACCTAACTACTATGTACAAATAAAAATAAAAACTCACACTCAATCCAGCTTAAAGTCAGATTTGAATATGCGACCATTCAAATCTTCCTTCAAGTCAAGCTTGAGAGTTTTATTACTAGATGGAACTGCTGGATTGGTTTTTGGAGGAAGTTCTTCAAATTTCTGTCTCGATTCCTTCATTTCAAGAACCTTTGAAGAATTCAACCAATTAATGAATTCAAAATTTTCAGAATTATTTTCATTCATTTCTAACAAAGAAGATTGTTCCAGCAAGCGTGCTTCAAGTGGATCAAACAAAGAAGAATCATATACTTTGCTTGGAACAAGAGACTCAATCATATTAACCTCATGTACATCCTCATCAACATTCCCTGGATGTTTGCACACATTAAAAATATTGAGCTCTAATGTCATATTTCTAAAAGTTAACTTCATTACATCATTCCTGCAATTAATTAAAGCATTTGAAGTTTCTAGGAATGGTCTGCCTAAGATAATAGGAATTTGAGCATTAGCATTTAATATAGGTTGAGTATCCAAAATTATAAAATTCAAAGGGAAGTAAAATTTATCAACCTGTACTAAAATATCTTCCACCATACCCCTCAGTATTTTTACTGATCAGTCAGCTAATTGAAGTGTAACTGAGATAGGTTTTAACTCCTCTAACGCTAATTGTTCATATACTGAATAGGGGAGTAAGTTCACACTAAGTCCAAAATCCAATAAGGCTTGTTCAATTCTGTGGTTACCTATAACACAAGAAATAGTGGGGCAACCTGGGTCTTTATATTTTGGTGGAGTCCTATGCTGTATGATGAAAGATACCTGCTCAGTCAAAAATGTCTTCTTTTGCAACATTTAATTTCCTTTTAACAGTATATAATTCTTTCAAAAATTTTGCATAAGAATATATTTGTTTAATGGCATCCAACAAGGGAATGTTGATTTTTACCTGCTTAAAAATTTCTAACACATCATTGTGCATGTTTGGCTTGATAGAAGCAAGTAATCTCTGTGAGAATGGTGCACGTATAACATACTTTTCAGGCTTATTGATTTCAGATTGGTCAAGTTTATCACCACTCTCCATAGGTTTTGAAATTTCATCAGATTCTTGAACTTTAGTAGGAATAGTTTTGTCAATTAGTTTCCCACTACGAAGTGTAGTGATAGACTTTACTTGCTCATGAACAGTGTCTAATGTGCCCATTTCATTCACATTGAATTGACCTAGCGGAATTGGTTGGGGTAGGGCTGGAAACTTACTTTTTTCCTGATGGCATGGGATAATAGTCAATTTAGTGAGTATGCTCCTGATATCATTTATAGCCTGTGTGGTCTGATTGAGTGTACTCCTGATATCATCAATAGCCTGTGAAGTCTGTCTGTTATAATTTTCCTGTTGATTGTTGAAGTTTGTTTGACTTTGCTTGAATTGTTACAACACTTCCTCAATATCCCTCTTTGGGGGTGGAACATAGGGTACAAAATTAGAGGAATTTTGTTAAGGTATTTGTGATGCATGATTCTCATCCTTCCAACTAAAATTTGGATGATTTTTTCACCCAGGGTTGTATGTATTTAAATAAGAATTATTATAAGGTTCTGAAAAAATGTTCGCTGCATTTGCTTAATCATTCAAAACTTCTTTTAAAATAGGCCATGTTGGACACTCCTTCATAAGGTGTCAAGGGATCTCACAAAAACTACAAACCTCCTCAATGGGTATTGTGTCAACCTCATTAACCCTTTTTTGTATTTCATGGCATCTACCCTCCTAGTTAAGGTGGAAATTCTAGCCCCTAGGTCATCCTCTTCCCTCAGCTGGTATTTATCCCCACTTGATGATGATGATTGTGTAGTCTTACCTTTAGTAGGTTCTTGAGATGTAGTATCCCAAGATTGTGCATTCTTGGCTAACTGGTCAAAAAAATCTAAGGCCTCGTCAGATTCCTTATTCATAAAATCACCATTACACATTATTTCTACAAACTGACGCATTTGTGAACTCAACCCTTCATAAAAGAAACTTATCACATGCTAACTTTCATAACCATGATGTGGACAAGATGCAAGGAGGTATTTAAATCTATCCCAATTTTGATAAAAATTTTCAGACTCTTTTTGAGAAAAATTCATGATTTGTCTTTTGACAGAGTTTGTGCAAAAAAAATTTTTAGAAATTGTTTTTGCATCTCTGGCCATGTACCTATGGTCCTAGATCTAAGTGAATATAACCAAGTCTTAGCCCTTTCCTTTAATGAAAACAGAAACAACTATAACCTGATTGTATCCAATGAAACATTCTAATCATGGAACATAGCACATACTTCCTCAAATTCTCTAATATGTAAATAGGGATTTTCTGACTCTAAGCCAAGAAATTTTGGGAGTAATGGAATCATGCCAGGTTTAAAGACAAAATTTGTGGCATTAATGGAAAAATAATGCATGATGATGCAGTGTGACGTGTAGTGTGACATGCAGGTTGTAGATAATCACGCAAAGTTCTACCATGATTAGCATTTAAATTATCCACATCGTTCTCATCATAATTACTTACTCTATCAATATGATCATCATGTTCAGATAAATTATTTCATCTATTATCATTAGGATCAACAGCAATTGTATGAGAAGTATGATTTGAATCAGATGAATCCTATAAATTTCCAAACAGAGTATTTAAATCTTCTCTTATCAAATAACCACTCAAATCACGATGCGAAGAACTCATAAAACAAATAAAATAAATAAAAAACTAAATTAAATAAATAAAATAAAATAAAATAAATAAAATAAATAAAAATTAGAACGAAGTTACCGGATCTCCGACGAATCGCAAATACCGAAAACCTCAAAAGATGTGATGGCTCCTTGTCTTTCAACTCCCAGGCAACGACGCCAAAAATTTGCTTCAACTTTAATATTGTAAACTCAAGCACAGGTTGAGCGAAATAATATAATTATCGAAAGACCGAGGTCGAACCCTCAGGGAATTGTAACAAGAAAAACAATCACACAAATACTAAAACAAACTTAAAAATAATTAATTTCTTTAGGGAATTGTTGAGTGGAGAAAATTGATTTAAATAATTTAAACAGTAATATAAAAAATACTAGAATATCATGTACTCCCTCCCAATTCCATACAATAATGATTAAATACTCAAATCTTAACTTGAGACAAGAATCAGATGTCGGTTGATTCGAGTAACAAATCAAGTAAGAAAATCAAAAGTTATAATCAAAAAATTATTCAGAAACCTAAATAATCATCCAATTATATTATTTTATGAAATAATGATAGTTACCTCAAGCATAGAATAACCAGTTATTTACTCGCAGGGAAATTCAAGCAATCGATGTACATGACACAAAGACTCAAAGATTTTTACAGAGCAAAAACTTTGCTAACAGATTAAAGTTAAATTAAAAAAATATCATAAATCATTAAACTCAAAATCAATAACATTACCGTACTTCATTGAGAGGTTTTTCCCTAACCCTAGCTTAACCTTCTAGCTAGACATGACGAACTAAAATAAAAATAAAAAGATGGAAAAAAGAATTCCTAATCTCTAAATGAGAACCCCTATTTATACTAAAAATAAATCATAAGTACAGGTTGAAAAGAATTCTTTTCCAAAAAAAAAATCTTGTAAGGTTAAATCCCGTGCATAAAATCTTTGGGGCACGAGTACAAAATTTGTCCAGACGGCTTCAATTTCGCATATTTAGAGGCTGAATCACGAAAATTTTGTGAATACACTTTTGTAGCCCTTGAAGTCTTATTTTCAACCCCCAAAAATCAAGTAAATCGGATATCAGAGTCAAAAACTATGACAAAATTCAGAAGACGTGTCAAATCCTTATCTTCTAAGATACTTTCTTAATCCAACTCTAAATGAGTTTCTTCCAACTTGGACTCTTATAAGGATTAAATTGATTTCATATCTTCAAGTCTTCCTATTTCAATCTTGACTCTTCAATCCTTATCAATTGTGATTCTTCCTTTAGTAATTGATTCACTTGCATTATCTATTATTACTTTAAATCAATCAATTTACCTACAAAGTAAATCAAACAACTAGAAAAAGTATCAAACTAGAAAATCAAGAAATTTAATACATTTAATCACAAATAATATGCAATTAATCAATTAATAAATATAATAAATTAACAATTTTGAAGGTTAATCAACAGACATATTTGGATTCTTTTCACAGATAAGGAGAGTCTATGAGCTAAATGGATTCATTCCTACCACCTAAAGAGCAGAAGTTTCTGAGAGGTCAAACCACCAAGCATATGTTCTTGGAATTGGTTAAACCTCCTTAAAATGAGAGGAAATATAAGACCATTTGTAGTGAGCATCATAGGTGATGGCAAGAAGACCAGTGGATGACATGACAGCTAGCACCCTTTAGGGACTTTGTTTTTTGAAGTTTGGCATCAGCACAATGGAAGACTCAAGACCCTTTTGAGGGATAAGGTGGACAAGGTGGTGGCTAACAAAAGGTGGAATTTTCTAACTAATGGGATAGTTGAGCTTAGAGAAATCTTAGCTAATATGCCTAACTATCATCCATGTGAGCAGAATGAGGATAAGATCAAGTGGAATGCTACATCTTCTAAATACTTTTCAACATCCTATTCTTGGAATATTATGAGATCCCCATGTTAGAATCTTCTATGGCACCATATTATATGGTTCAGGCATGCCATTCCAAGAATTGCATGCATTACTTGGTTAGCAATTAGGGCAAGGCTAAACACCAAGGACAAATTACAGACATTTATGGCTAATGTGGAACTGGGATGTCTTCAATGCAAACACGTACCAAAAAGCCATTCTCATCTTTGCTTTGAGTGCCAATTCACTAGGAAGGTATGGGATAATCTCAAGGACCTCTATCAAATTCAATGGATTCAAGGTACATGGGTTACTATACTTGCTGATACAAGTCAAATCTGGAAGGGCAAATCACTAAGCACAACCTTAAAAACTCTTAGTCTCTCAATGGCAATTTTCACCATTTAGAGAGAGAGGAACTAAAGAATCTTCACAAACAAGTCAAGGGACTACCAGACTCTCACAAATGCCAATAACGCAAACTATAAGGGATAGATTGGTCTCTGAAAGATTCAACCAAAATCAACAGAATGAGAGATTGTCCCAAACTTGGCAACTACCTAGTAGCTGCTTGTTCTAATTTTGGCAAAAACTAGTAGAATTTTTGGGGAAGTGTTAGCTCCAGGCTTCCACTTCCTCTGAAATTCTGTCGAATTTGTGCATTTCCTTCTTTTGTATCACTTGGCCAAGCCAAGTTTTTTCCTTCTGATTATGTTCTACTCTGTAAGTACATGATCTCTTGTATAATGATCTTTTGATGAATAGAATTTACTTT